ATTTGTTGTCCTAACAATCATTTATTTATAAATCTGCATTCAAGTGCTGGTCATTTGACTCGTAAAGGCCATACAACTTGCACAAGTGCTCTGCTCTCAATTTTGACAAAGCATTGGTTCACCCATGCAATGATAGATGGTATTAAATTTACTGTAACAATATAGTTGGCCCTTTGAAAATTTGGTGTGTTTTTGCTGTGCTTAACCCACAGCAAATGTTCTTTGAATCTGCAACAAGAAGTTGCTGCAGCTGTGTCCAATATGCATTAAGTATGCTTGGGTACCAAAACAAACACAATGTTCATTACAAAATTTTGGAACTTTTTAGGCTTAAATGTATCTCTTAAAACTAAGCGGACTTACATGTTACCAAGTATTTTAACTTTAAAATATTATGATTACAACACCTAAAGTGTGAGGGCCTGTATATTCATTATTTCAAATTTCACAGGTGGTGAAAGGTTGCCTTGCTGCTGAGTGATTGTAACATTTTTAAGACAACCCATTTTAGATTTGTGTTAGATGCTCTTAAGTTAACTTTGAATTATTTATCATTTATTCATGCACTTTCCTCTGCATGAAAAATAACATTCATTATTGCAAAACTAATTTGTTTTACTTACAGCAAAAGGACTAGTGGTTTTGACATGGCCCCCCCTGCGTCTGCGATGTTGGCAGGTGCTTCTGCTGTTGCAGGTACACTTTCTTCATGGGTATTTACAAACATTTTTAATCTTAACTTCTTTCTTCCTTTTGTTGTTCTTGTTGATCCTAGTATGGAAAATTCTTATCAAATTACACGGTGTTTACTTGGTAAGATAAGTTTCAGTCGCTACCTGGTATAGAATTCTTGAATACTGGTTTCCTTGGTGTGTTATTTTGTCTTTCTTTTTACTTAGTGATATAATTCTGGAACTAAATGGTGCTTTGGTTTTTTGTCTTGTGTTTGGTGTTTGTTTGTTTTGTTGTATGTCTTGTCTTATGTTCTAAGAAGGCAATGTTGGGCTACTAGCCCCAATGTGCTGACAATGGGCGTGAGCCGACGTCTGTAGCTTTTATGTCCAAGGAGGAATCAATGCACCTGTTTTTGGTGGGTCTTGTTCGTCTTCAACTGGAAACTATTACCTACTTTGGTAGACTTATGAATATTATCCCTAATGTTTGCTTACAAATTACAGTATTGTTTAATCTTGTTGATGTATATATATAATACATAATAAAAAAACATAATAGTGGTGAAGTTAATTTTTGCTTAAGCTCATACTGGTTTTAGCAGAAGTCAGTTGATACCTAATAATAATGTAACGGGATTGCAAAAGATGATAGGTATGAGTTTTTTCTTTGACGTGATATGCTTTTATTGCATTTGCAGGTCAGATTACCGGGGCAAGTCCTGCAATTCCTGGAATGTTCCCAAATATGTTTCCCATGGCTACAAGTCAGGTATGTTTCTTTTTATTCCCAAATCTGGTTGTGTTATACAATGTTTAATCAATTTGACCATATTTTTTGTTTGTCTTGTGAAGTTGCAGCAATTTAATACTCTCCCTGTCTTGCCAGTTCAGGCTATGACACAACAGGTAATAGATGAATATGAGAGATGGTGTTTAATCTTTTCCCTTTTAGCATTACTTTGCTTCTTCTAATTTTGTCCCTTTTTGTTGTACAATACATATAGGCGACACGACATGCTAGGCGGGTGTATGTTGGTGGCCTCTCTCCTACAGCTAATGAGCAGGTAATGTATAGCAGCTCATTGTGATCTTTCCCTGTTGGTTTCTGAATGATAATGGCCATGCTAGTTTTTTATTTGCTAACTTCCCTATTTGCCATTTAGTTTCCAATTTCCACATTTCATAAAATGTTAAAAGCTTTTTAGAGTATGTTACTGGCTTAGTGCAACATTCTCTGTTTCTTATTTTTGTGATTTGAGTAGGAAGCATGGTTAAGTGGAGAACACGCTGGAGAATTTTTTTTTATCTGGTTTTGTTTGCACTACTTTTGGATTTTAATTTTTTGCCTCTAATTTTGCTATGCTGCAGTCCGTTGCAACTTTCTTCAGTCAGGTTATGGCTACAATTGGAGGAAACACTGCTGGTCCAGGTACATTATGATCTTAAATGGATTGTGCCAGTTTGCTGACCCTATAAAATTCCTTATTGATTTAGTTTTATTGTGTAGGTGATGCTGTTGTGAATGTTTACATTAACCATGATAAGAAATTTGCTTTCGTGGAGATGAGGTCCGTCGAGGAAGCCAGTAATGCAATGGCTTTGGATGGAATTATTTTTGAGGTATCTTCTCCTTTTAACTATGACTAATGCTCAATATCTTTCTATTATGTGAGAATAGTACATATGTTAATCTTAATTCTAATTTTATTTTGTATTCAGGGTGCACCAGTTAAGGTCAGAAGACCTACTGATTATAATCCTTCTCTAGCTGCTGCTCTAGGTCCAAGCCAACCTAACCCAAACCTTAATCTGGGTGCAGTCGGCCTATCACCTGGGTCTGCTGGGGGACTTGATGGTCCCGATCGGATTTTTGTTGGTGGAGTTCCTTATTACTTTACTGAAACACAGATCAGAGAGCTTTTAGAGACCTTTGGTCCTCTTCGGGGTTTTGATCTAGTGAAAGATAGAGAAACAGGGAATTCAAAGGGTTATGCATTTTGTGTTTATCAAGATCTTGCCGTTACAGATATTGCTTGTGCAGCTCTCAATGGAATAAAAATGGGTGATAAGACCCTTACTGTTAGACGGGCTAATCAAAATACAAACCCAATGCAGCCTAAGCCTGAGCAAGAGAGCATTTTAATGCATGCACAGCAACAGATTGCTCTCCAGGTATGATGGAATTGTCATTTTGGATTGTATTTCTTGCATAGATCTTTTGTTGCTTATGTTTGAAATTAATCACCAAAATTTTGATTTTGTAGAAACTTATGTTGCAACCAGCATTAGTGGCAACAAAGGTGTTGTGTTTAACTCATGCCGTTTCTCCCGATGAGCTCAAAGACGACGAGGACTATGAAGAAATTCTTGATGATATGAGACAAGAGTGCTCCAAATTTGGTAATTTCAAATTTAATTTGCTTATCTTTCCTTGCAAACTATATAACAAATCCTGTGTTATGTTTGTTTTACAGCCTCTTGTAGTCTCGTAGATAATCAAAGCATCCATAACTTCCTATTTCTATGCATACTTATTATTGAATGCTTCTAAAATGTGCATACTTAAATGTTTCCCTTTACACAATCTGCAGGTAATTTGGTGAATGTGGTGATTCCTCGCCCACGACCCGATGGTGAACTATGCCCTGGGGTTGGAAAGGTTTGTTCTTCTGACCTATTCTTTTAGAAATTCTATTCCCTTTTGTCTCGGGGGTCATATTCATAATCTTTTGTTTGTTGTTTGTCTGTGTTTCTGCTTCAGGAAATAATGGCGTGATTCATGCAGTCAATCTCACCTAGCAAACAAAGCTTTTACTCTTGTTTTGTTATATAGAAATTGTTAAATTGTTTTTACTACATATTTATTTTATATACTAAGTTTTAAACATGCATCTTATGATATGTTGCCACATCATTTAATGAGTACCACAACTATTGTGTTTCTAACTTGTTAAATGATGCGACAACACTTCATTGGATATAAGTCCAACTCATTTCTTTGTCAATACTGCATTATTTAGTTCTAAAAAAAGAGCATTTACAAAAAGTTACCCATGGAAAATGAAAATAATAAGTTGTTAATAATCGGTTATAAATGTGTTTTTTTGGGGTGCAACAATTTAATGCGATAAATTGTAAATTTTGGCTGTAGAATCAATTTTGTACTTGATGCAGGTATTTTTGGAGTATGCCGATGTTGAAGGTTCTGCAAAAGCTCGTGCTGGATTGAATGGAAGAAAATTTGGGGGAAATCAAGTAGTAGCGGTCTATTATGCTGAGAACAAATTTGCTGAGGGTGATTATGAAGGCTAATTTTGCCCCCATCACTTGGATTGTATCTGAATTGAAGATTTATTTGCAGGGATTTTAAAAATTTGTATTACTTGTGAATCATGGGTTATCAGTTGATGGAGTAGCACATGATAGAGAGAATTTGTCAATAGGTTTTTTCTATACAATACAATGAATGATACATGGTTGAATTTTATCACTTGAGATCTTTATGCTTTTGAGTAGAGTTTGTTTTGAAATAGACTTGTATTATTAATCAAATTATAACTTGTTTGCTACTGAACTGATTATAGTTATGGTAGTGTTTGAAAATAAGTAGGAATCACTTCTTATTTACCACATCTATGATTTTTGAACCATCAACCCATAATAACACTGAAAAGAGGGCTTCAACTTAATTTTGTTTAATTCTACTATATCTAGCCATACTATTTTTAATCAAACTTAAAACTAAGTTGTTTAAATCAAACTATTGGTTCGGAATTCTGATACACAATTGTTGAAAGGATACATGTGAATAATGCTCAAATGCAAGAATATGGTGGTAAGTGGTTGGTGGCAAGTTGTTGAATGAAAAGGAATTCATACCATTCAATTCTGCTCTCCTCAATCTAATTTTAAATAACTCAAACTAAAGTAAATACAATAAAATGAGCCTTTTATGAATTGGATTGTAAATAATCTCACATAAAGTAAATAATTTGCAACTGCTTCATTATTTTTTAACTTTCTTTTGATGATTTTTTTAATTTATTTGTTAACTATACCAATACATTTCTGGAAAGAGCAGGTTTTTGATCACGAGAATGAGCCTTCAATCACCGATTGTAAAGTAAGACTCGTCATGTTAAATGTTAAGAACACAAACACATTACCAAAAAGCACCAAAAAGCTTCTCTCATCTTCATATTTCCCCAACCAATTATCAAATTAAATAAACCTACACTTATCACATGAATGCCATAAATATGTTACCATATGACCATACAACTATATAAGAATGCATAGTCCATTTTGTGTCAGAACATCACTAAGATGAAGACTTTTATTTGGACATTCATGTGTATCTGTCTGTTCCTAAGTGCTACAAAATGTTTGTCTCAGTTTCAGCCACGGCTACCAGAGGGACAACAAGTTCCATGCTTCTTCATATTTGGCGACTCATTGGTTGATAACGGAAACAACAATGGAATCATAACACTTGCTAGGGCCAACTATAGGCCTTACGGCATCGACTTCCCACAAGGCGCCACCGGTCGATTCACCAACGGTCGAACCTATGTCGATGCATTAGGTAATAAGCTTATTTTCACATATTTAGTCGCTAATATAGCATGTTTTTGTAGTATGTAAAAATCTTAATGTATAATTGCAGCTCAACTTCTTGGTTTTCGAACATACATTCCTCCATATTCAAGAGCAAGAGGTTTGGACCTTCTAAGAGGAGCCAATTTCGCATCAGGAGCAGCAGGCATCAGGGAAGAAACAGGCAGTAACCTGGTATGCACACGCGCGTACACACATACAGTGTTATCGATAATTATAATTTATAAGCACAATACTTATGTGATATGATTTTCATTAACGCAGGGTGCTCATACATCAATGGATGAGCAAGTAACTAACTTCGGAAACGCAGTGCAGCAGATGCGGAGATTCTTTAGAGGAGACAATGATTCAATGAATAGTTATCTAAACAAATGTATATACTATTCAGGAATGGCAAGCAACGATTACCTTAATAACTACTTCATGACTGATTTTTATTCAACCAACACTCAATACACTCCTAAAGCTTTTGCTTCTGCCCTTCTTCAAGCTTACGCTCGTCAGTTAACTGTAAGCGTATTGCTAGTTGGATTATGATTGCACGCGGTAACAAAAACGATTCCATTTTGATATATTAATGATTTGTTCTCTTAATATTGTCCAGCAATTACATTCATTAGGTGCAAGAAAAGTGATTGTTGCAGCAGTTGGACAAATCGGGTGCATACCATATGAGTTAGCGCGTTTCAATGGTAACAACAGCAGATGCAACGACAAGATCAACGACGCGATTGTGTATTTCAACTCAGGTCTTAAACAGTTGGTTCAGAATTTCAATGGAGGACAGCTTCCAGGATCAAAGTTTGTGTACTTGGATTTTTATCAAAGCAGTGAAGATCTAGCAACAAATGGAAAATCATATGGTAATGTTCTTTTCTAGAATCATAGCAAAAGCACTTAGTTTCAAAAGCTGATTTTGGACTTTTTTGTTGATATTATGACAGGATTTGATGTTGTTGACAAAGGATGTTGTGGTGTTGGTAAAAACAATGGACAAATCACTTGTCTTCCATTGCAACAACCATGTGAAGAACGTGGCAAGTATTTGTTTTGGGATGCTTTTCACCCTACTGAGTTGGCTAATATTTTACTAGCAAAAATTTCATATACTTCACAATCTTATACTTCTCCTATTAATATTCAACAATTGGCTATGCTTTAAGAGTTGAATATGTTTTTCATATTGTTTGTTTGTTAGTGTATGCAATGCAAAATTTGATGTTGTCTTAGTATAAGAATGTTATCATGTTTCTCAAAGTTACTTTCTATAAGTATGAATTGATGTCATTGTGTTGTAAGAGTGATAATTCTCAATAAATATGCTTTTGTCTAACTCTAATCATTTATAAATACAATCAACATCTTCAATTTTATTTTATTTTTGTTGTAATGGAGATTCACTTGGACGAGTTTCTAAGGTGATCTAATGTGACACAGTGACTCAATTTAGATCAGAATTTCAAGATTTGATTACGCGTACCACCGACGTTAATGACGCCATGTTCCTCAATTTCTTTGTTATTTATATCGCTTTCTAGGATTTCATGTCAGTTGGATTTATATTAGTAGCAAATTATTATATAAGTTGTAGATTTTATTAGAATTGATAATTGAACCTTGTTTTAGTGTTGATTAAACTTGAAAAGTGTGGTTGTAGAATCTTATCAATATTGATAATTGTACGATAATACTACTTGTGTAATTCAGCTATTATTCGATACAAAACTAGTTTGTCTTTTTGATTTAATTCGATTGTCAATCTTTAATTGTATTGTGAGTTGTTTAAATATTATTGTGTCAACTCCAATTGAAAAGCACACTATGTATTCGTCAAAATTGTTTCCCCTTTACAAAATTATTTAGATATCTGATGGAACATTTTCAAATGAATTTTTAATTTGGGAGGTGTATCCAACCCTTCCTCCTTTAGACCGTTTATTGTCCATATTTTCATCCAATATTTCTTTACAAAAAATGGTGAGAGTCTTGATCTATACCATAATACATGCTATTGAGTTTTTTTAATCTAATTTTTGGAATTTTTTGATTAACAAAAAACATGACATTATATTTGCCGAAAATGAAATTAGAGTTCTGTTCGAACTGCAGTAAAGCACTAAGAAGAAAAAATTTAGTTTTGGAAGGATTCCTTCTGCGATTTATATCGTCTCCACAAGGATCAGTGCAAGGAAAGAACGTCGTTTAATGGTCTCTACATTTTTAAACTTGTTGTAAAAATTGTTTGGAAGATGAAAGATACAATAGATAAAAGCGGAAAATATAAACAGAGTCTTATTGGAATTGGATCTCATCAATTGATAACACATTCATTCTTTTAACCAGTTAAACACAAATCAATCATTCTTCTAATATCCTCACGTATCATCCACAACTGAGGTTATGTCTAACACAAAGTCGAGAGGACAACCGAGGTTATGTCTAACGCAAAGTCGAGAGAACAACCATATTGTCTCATTGGTGATGTCTCCCGCAACTCAACAACACTGAACATTAAGAACTGATACTCAAGCAAATGTTAAGCCTAAATCAATGTCTAAAGTCTAGAACCTAACAGATAATCATCCTAGATCCAAATCTGAAGAGTATATTTCTATAATGGTTCAAATCAAAGATAAACAGGCAAACAAAGATGACATCCATATCAGTTTCATGATTGACTTATATAAAACGCCATGATCAAAACACATACATACGTTTAACCATTTTTACATGCATTCACCTAATTTGCCAAATGTAAGTGAACACTAGGGCTGGAAATGAGTCGAGTCGAGTCGAACTCACCTCAGCTCGGCTCGACTCGTTAAGAATTGTTCGAATTCGAGTTCGAGTTCGAGTTCGACACGAACTTTTTTTTAAGCTCAAACTCGACTCGTTATAAGTTCACGAACAGTTCGGTTCGACTCGTTAGGTTCATCTCATTAGGTTCAGCTCACATGGTTCACGAACTTAAAAACTATTTTTTTAAATATATATATATTTTTAGTATATTTGACATTTTAAATAAATATATATATTTTAAAATAAAATATTAAAATAAAATAAAAGTTATCATATTGAAATTTAACTTTATCTTCGAAATCTACTAATTCAAAACCTACACAACTTTCAAGAGATACATTTGAGAGTCTAATTCAAAAACTAATAAATTGAAGATTAAATTTGTCTAAGATTTGAAGTAAATATTTAAACCTAATCTTAAGGACAGTATAATTCTTTTCATATGTAATCGAGTTGACTCATGAACCTAACGAGTCGAACTATGTATAGTTCAAGTTCAGCTCATTTAGTTAACGAACTTAATTTTTCGCTCATACTCAACTCATTTGGTTCATGAACCTAGTTCAACGATTTAATTGTCGAGTCGAATTCCGAACTATCTTCGAGTTGGTTTGGTTCATTGCCAGCCCTAGTGAACACGTTCTTCATCTCTATTATTACACATCCTTACAATACCGTATTGATCTTATTCATACTACCCATGTTACTAATCAACACAATAAAATAGAAGATACAAGTAAATATCAACTTACAAAATTATGTCAAAAGTTTGCTCATTGATAGATGAATATCTAAGATCTAATATTTGAAAAGGTTTTGTAAAGACCAACAAATAAGAAATCAAAGACACCATAAATAGTGAATCAAAAGTAGTTCACAATACATATATTAGATGAAAACATAAGGTATCAAAAGATTACATCAAAACCCAACAAGAGACCGAAGATCCTACCTTCTCCCCCGTAGGGTTTGTATTTCTCTCTTTAAAATATGCTTGAAATGAATAAAGATAAAGTTCTGATATCAAAAAGTACAAGTTCTAAAACTTCTACAAAAGTTATCTTTCTAAAAAGTGAGAAAAAATATACATATATAGTAAACTAAAAATATATCTTGTTCGCCTAGCAAACATCTTCTTCGCCTAGCGAACATCTTCTTCGCCCAGTGAAGACTATTTTTGGACACTTCAAGTGTCTCAGGAACAATTAAACAACCCTTGAAAAATATCTGAGTTCGTAGAGCGAGATCTTTTTCGCACATTGAACCTCTTCGCTACAGATTCGCCCAACAAACTTTGGACTCTTTTCCTACTGCCTTTAAGCTGGGCTGGTTCGCTGGAGTTTCTCCAGGACTTTGTGTAACACCCCACTTTCCCCATTTAAAACAAGACAGAATTTAATTCAAATAAACATCAGAGTTTTTCCTCAAACAGTGGGATATCACATCAAGAGTTCCTCATACTTTTCATTAAAAAGGTTTTCTCAACAAAACAGCGGAAATCTTTCATTTTTGATTCATCACCCACGTCCATCCGCCAAATATAAAAATAGTCATTAATAAAATTCACCAATGTGATACGTTCACAGGAATATAACAAGTTCCAACAAAATAACATAAAAATGCCCAAATCCCGTGCTACGTATCAGAGCATCCTAGACTCGACTCGCACACCACTATCCAGCTAGCTAAGTACCTGGATTATCTGTACTTCCGAAGAAGCACAAACCACAGCGACAACAAAGGGGTGAGAAAACATGATCATAATCATCGACAATAATATACATGAATAAATATAGCACCACATCAATCATCACCAAATCAACACCAATCACGACCTACTATCCAATATCAACACAACACATAATAATGCACTTATGCAACTCAACACCATGCATGCGGTACCGACTCAATGGTTCATTCAATCGAACCCCGGATAGATCACATACACCCCTACTTGGTAATGACCTATCCCCACCATTCTCCACAAAGGAGTACGGGTGAATCACTTACGCTCCTCCTGAGACATGATTTGACCCCACCAAAACACCATGATATGAAAGACACCAAATGCATACTAATCAGCTCAAGCACCCTAAGTGCACACGATCCTCCTGATCACATCACAATATATCATGTGTATATCACACACCTCACCATACATTATATATATATATATAATTCACACCAGCTATGTTAATTAAATTCAATATCATATAATTTCACCTTTTAAACATCAACTATGCACTCATCATCACGAAACATCATTTCTATACCAATCACAACCTAAGGGGTCCTCTACGTCAAGAATACAGAGGCAAACAACAAAAATTCTATTTTTGGCACCTCAGACTGGCCATACGCGTATTGGCCTGTGCCATACGCGTATGACTCACACATATGCCAGGCCATACGCGTATCACCTCCTCATACGTGTATGCCCAGAGACAATTTTCCCCTCAGTACGTGTATCACCATCCCATACGCGTATTGCCTAGTCCTGTACGCGTGCCATACACATTTGGGCAGAGGGCCGTGTCACAAATACCTCCCCTGCCACTCGTACGCGTATTGCCTCCCTTTCCCCCTTCCATATGCGTATAGACTAGCCCCATACGCGTATGGCCAGATCACATACGCGATTCACCAGAAGCCTCTCTTCTGCAATTCTGCTACGAATCCTACTCTTTCCACACTTCTAATCAGTCCATTATGTTACTATTATTGGTTCTAGGCCTGTAATTCTCACCTATCTTGTATCCTAACATTGTTATCTCAATTCTATGTTACTCTAATTATCGTTCTATAAACTTTCTCTCCAGAATCCCACACTTGTATTCATCACCATTATCACAAACAAATACATACAATTTTCACCAAAATCACACCAATGTGTGCACGGATTTCATCATCAACAACAACAACAATCAACATATCATCATACAATTCGTTGTCATGCAATTCCTATGGGGTTAAGGAATCCCCTCTACCCAATTCATGCATAAATCAATTAAAACCAATTTCTCCCCCCTTACCTCGATTACAAACGGATTGCTGAAGAATTCCTACGAATTTGGATGGTTCTAGCCTTGTTCTTCCTCCTTAACCTTTCTCTAAACCAGTTTATCGTGTTCTTTTCTTCTTTTTACTAAAACCTCTTAATATTCCCCTAATCCCAATTTTAATTACTAATATAATAATAATACAAACAATAATAATAATAAAATGACAATATTACCACTAATTATTAAATTATTATCATTACTAATTAAATTATATTAATATTAAACTCTATATTCCATTAAACAAGTCTTATAGTCTAAGGGCACTCACTAACGCACTCAGACACATTCCCACATAAGGACA